AGAAGAAGACAAGCAGACTAGGGAGATGGGGAGCAAAGCCTCTGAGGACGCCGGCAGCGGGACAGCTGCGGCGCATCTGGGCTGTCCGCTGCCCGCGTGCTCCGCGGCTTTGCTGCCCATCTCCCTGGTCTGCTGGAAACCAGCAGACCAGGGAGACGGGCAGCAAACCCCGTTCGTAACTGCGGATCTGACGTAAGTCGGAGCCGCGTAACTCGGGGACTGCCTGTACTTAGCACGTACTGTATTGTAATCGAGAAAAGTTGTAAGCTGTTATTCTTTGCCAAAAAATCCAAAACTTCTGCATTAGAGCACTGAAATTGAATTGTCATTTTTGAGGGAATGGATTTGGGAAGAGATGAGATTATTGCTAGAAAATAATTTATAGATCTCCATGAAGATTTAATAACACTGAGGATATAGACATTATTCCTATATCATTCTCAATTATGTATCTTTGTTTTCTATGTGGAAAAATGTATATTCATACATAATTACCTGTTTACACTGGAAAATCCATATTTAGTAATTTTTTGCATACATATGAAAGAGTATAGAATTTAAATGAAATAAAATGTGTACACTTAATCATATTTTCTTAGCATATAGTGTGCAGAAATAAATACAGTAAATTGTGATACCTTAAAATTGGAAATATATATATGAAGTTTGGAATTATTAAATCCTGTTTTTGGTTTATGTTCTTCTCTTTTATAGATGCTCCCTAATTGCTCTACAGACAAATTCAGACTAGAAATAAGGTGTACATTTTTTATATTAAGGGCAATTAAACACTGAAATAAATTACCCGTGGAAGATTCTCCATCACTTGAAGTATTTAAATAAAGATTAGAGTTGTTTCTAAATTATATTCAGTAGCCCAACCAGAAGGTTGAGCCTCTGTTATGCTTGTCAGACTAGGTGATCATAGCGATCCATTCTGGTATTAAAATGTATGAACCTATGTAACTATAGAAAATATAATTAACAAATTTGATTCATTATACATATTTTGAATTATTTTGAAACAGAAAATGTTTAAAATTGAGATTTTGCATGTGTGTACATTCATGTATGATTTACGGGAAACGGGGTTGCACTATAGTTGGTTATATGCTGGATGTACAAAATATTTTGTTGTGACCTTGAGGTATCTGAGGTTGTATTTGTCTTGCATACTTGGGAATGGAGGCATATGAAAATGGCATTATCTGATGATTTCCTTAACTTTTAGTGGTTGTGTGATGACATTTGTATCCAAGCAGCCTTTAAATGTCAACTACCAAAGGGTATATGTTGGACTTACTATATGTAGATATAGATGACACCTCTTTTGAATGAAAACTAAAATAGGTGTATTTCCCAGAATCCTATTCTTTTTTCATGTATTCATGAAGGCAGTGTGTATGGAATATTACTTTAATATAAGGAATCCACAACTTATTGTTGTTAAAACTAATAGAATGACACACTGATATTTATTTTAATTGTTTTAATAATTCCTTTGATTATTTGGAAAATCTGCCTCTACCATGTTAGATTTTTTCCTCTGATTTTCCTTTTTCCTTCATTCTGACAATATACTAAGGACTTTAAAAGCAAAGCAATTGGTGAATTTAGTATTATATTTTATATTATATTGGTTTTAGTATTATATTGGATCTACCTACTTCTGGTTTGTCATTTCATAAATTGGCAGTAGGCTCAGAAGTTCACTTTTTTATTAAAAGTTGAATTTTCAAATGCATTTCACACTTTTCTGCAAAATATCCCTGTGTAGTGTTTTTGTTACTGTTTTTATACATTAATTACCTTAACAATCTGATTCAGCAGAAATAATCTTTGACCTGGTCCCAGAAGTCTGTGGTTGGGCTCTATGGAAGTCTGAGCACTGTAGTAAAAAAGATTAGCGTGCTAAAAACAAAATGAATTAAACCCTACAAGAATAAAATGATCTCCCTTTCCTCCATAAGCACATAGCATTCTGGGTGGCTTTGGAGGTCCTAGTTGATTGATTATTTATGTGACTAGCCACTGTTTGACTAGCTCTAGTGTTTACACCCTTAATATATTTGGAGACAGTTAGCATGTCTTTCCTGAGTGGTCACTTAGCCAAGCTACATGTATTTTGTTACATGCATTGTGTGCATAATGACTGAGAAGAAATTGAGACATTTTTATTCAGAATGTTGAAGTCAGATTTTGTATTTAAACAAGCAGAGTCTTTTAACTGAAATCAGAGGACGCTATATATTAGTGTGTATGAGAGAGAAAAGCATTCACATCCTGATTTAGTTTTAAGAGACATGCTGAGCACATTATTACTGGCACAGATAACAAGGCAAACTTTCAAATAGAAGCAAAAAGGCTATGAAAAATATACATTTTGAAGTTGCTTATTCTCTCTTTGTGGTGGCATATATGTTTGGCAAAAGCCAAATAGCATCAGACCTGCACAGAAACAATGTCGCCTTTGGTAGGGTTATCCAATTATAGTGATGCCTCTCAGTCTGCAATTTTAGTTTACAATCTATTTGGATGGCTGACTACACAAACAAATAAATGCAAACTGGTACAACTACCAAATTAGTTAGTTGTCTGTTGAAAATTCTATGATTTTTGATTGAGGAAGGTATATAGGAGAAGCAAAACGTCTCTCGTTTTCCCATATGAGACAAGGTTTGCATCTCATCTGACTTTGGGATGGCTTTTGAACAGTGTTCTCTACTCGCTAATATAGGCATCTTGCCATCAATTAAAAGGAAAGCATTAATAAAGTATTCAAATTCTTCAGATAGTACTTCTTTTTCTTTTCTTTTTACATTGGCTTTATTTTTAAAAAAAATCCTTCATATGCACTGGTGTAAAATACAAATAAATGGATCAATGAGAACAGAGTAAGCAAAAATTGTTGATTTCCTAAATGCTTTTTTTTTTTTTTGTCCTTTAAAAAACAAACACGTCTGTAATCTCCATAAACCATTTTTAAGACTACTATTCCTGATGGAAACTCTGTGCCATTTCTGAAACTATTTTGTTATTCTAAGGTAAAGTGAGTAACACATAATAAAAGATTCTCTGAAGAATAATTATGTTGATTCAGTTTAACGAGACCCAGAGTACAACTGCAACTGGTCAACCAGTCTTCCAAGTGTTCATGTGCTTTTTTGAAACATGCAGAACCATTCTGCACAGTATCTGTTACAAATCTAATAGAATCAAAAAGCCTCGTTACCCAGGCCCCACTCTGAGCAACCATGAAGGCTGAGTGTTACTGACATGATCCATTTATGAACAATATTTATTTAAGGATGAAACTTCAGATTTTCCTAAAGTCCTTTAACCAGACGCATTGGGAAAATGAATCTACTTCATAACACTTGTGGAATCAGTCTCTCAAGATTAGTCAAGCTAGGCAATGTGTCATTTGGAAGACTAACTTCAAAGGACAGTTTAGCAACTATAATACTACCAGTTGGGCTGCTGAGTGGCTAGGAAGATTTGGACTCCAGGGGTACATCTACAAAGCAGCGTTATTTCGGAATAATGAGCGGTTATTCTGAAATAACTTTGCGAGCATCTACACATCAAACCTGTTATTTCAAAATATATTTGAAATAACGGGCAGCTTATTCCAGATTCTGTAAACCTCATTCCATGAGGAATAACGCTTGTTCTGGAATAGTGCATGTGTAGACAGGGTGGCTGGAGTTATTTCAAAATAAGGGGCCTTCAGGAAATCCCACAGGTGCCCTGCTGGCAGCTCTGTACACGCTCATCAGAACTCTATAGTTCCCCTTTCCCTGCAGCCAATAAGGCCAATAAGGCTGCAGGCAGAAGGGAAAGGGCTTGTGTCAGGAAGCTGGCCTTGACTGCCCTGATCCACTCAGCAGCTGCCACTGAGTGACTCACCGAGCCCTCCACTGCTCCCAGGGAGCTCGCAGGACCCAATCAGGGGACATAAGAGGCGTGGGCCTTCCTGGTCTGATGCGGAGATCTTGGCCTTCAAGGGGTTAGCGGGTTGCATGTGGGTGTCCCATCATGTGAGGACAGGGGCGAGCCACTCTCACTACTCCAGAAAGATGCCCTTCTGCATGTGGAAATTCTGAAGCCACTGTTGGTTGTCCCACCACTCCATAATGATCCAGTCCCACCAGTCGGAATTGGTGTCCAGACGCCCGAAGTGGCAGTGCATGAGCTACGCCTGCAGAGAGATGCTGAGGGTCTCTGCGCTGAGTTGGGGATTGTGTTCCTGCAGGGCCAGGAAGGCAGCCTGCAGAAATTGGTGCAGAAGCTGCAGCATGACAGATAAGAGCTGTCGAGTGCTCGAAGGCAGCTCTGGCTCCATGGCTAGAGAGGTGAGGTGTCCACAAGGGCAACCACAGCAGGCAGTGGAATGGGTTTGCTGTCCCTCAAGGAGGTAGGCAAAAGAGAGGAGCCTAAGACATGGGTGTACAGGGGCGTCCCTTTAAGCTTGAGCCTCAGGCAGCAGCTCCAGGAAGTAACTGCTGTCCTGATGCCCTGCCTGAAATGCTTCTGGGTGGCCAGAATTCAGCGTCCAATGAGTGTAGATGCTCTATTTTGAAATAGCCCTGTGCTATTTCTATGAGCATTTGCTGTGTAGATATGCTATTTTGAAATAAGCTATTTTGGAGTATTTCTTCTGGAATAGCTTATTCCGAAATAAGTGTGCAGTGTAAATGTACCCCTGCAGGAGTGGCTTACTCCCTTGTTGAGACAATGTAAGTTGACACAGTATGATGGATATCTCTGATATATTAATAGTGATTTAAACTTATGAATTTTATTTTCTACATGGAAATCTTGCCCAAACAGCTCCCATGGGAGGCCTACCTGCAAATCCAGATTTGCATTTTCAGTACTGTTGGCTGGAGAATTGTACAGAATAAGGTGGATTGTTAGGGCTATTTACTATTCATGTAAGGTGGGAAGTGTGTACTTGACAAAGACATTGCTTATTGTGCATATCTTTTTTTTTGTGTGCTGGGCCAAAGGATTAATCAGATTCAGTTTGGCTTTAGAAGATGATTTAACTGGGTTTGGCAGACCTCTGAATTTTTGAAGAATGGATAACACAGTTGTGTGTTTATACCAGAGCTGAGTTTCTACCACAGGTTTCCTGAGAGTTGAGACAAATTCTCCACTCATAAATGTAACAAATTGTGTACTTGAGTGACAAAAAGGACACTGTGACAGATGAGGTGTTCTTTTATTGAATTGAGATCCCATCACTAAGTTCCAAGGACAGTTTAGAGACTCTCTTCATGGCATTATGCCTAATTTTCACTGAAGTTCCCAGTGACTGCAGTAGGACTTCTGGCTGGTCAGCACTTCTGAAAAACAGTTGTGTGCTTTTATTTCAAACTGAAATAGGTTGTCACAATCCTGCCTACCTCCCCTTTTTAGATACTTACCGGATAGCTGTATTTGGACCTACGCACTGAATCTGTGTGATTTTAAGCTCCTCTGGGTCTGGCAGACTTCTGTCACAAGCTCTGGCTTCTAGGGTTCTCTTTCAAAGGCACAGATTCTATTTGGTTCCACTCTGACGGACTGGGATCTGAGCCATTCATGCACACCTTCCCTGGAACTCCATCCTCATTGATATTCCAATTTATATTGTAACCCTGCACAGACACTTGATAGCTGAAGCAAAAAAGACAGATTTTCAGACAAAGCACAGGAGATACTGAGATCTAGGAAAAATAAGAACACTTGTATATAATTTATTTGCCACTGGAGAGCATTTTTTGGGTTTTGGTCTGTGCCTTCAGGGCTCCAAGATCCCTTCTCCCGGACACTTGGCTGAGGCTATGTCCACACTATAAACAATACAGCAGCACAGCTACAGTGATGAGGCAATACTCCTGTAGGGTTGAGGCAGAGAGACTTCCTACCATAACAGATGAGGTTTATTTATCAATGTAGGTAATTCATCTCTTTAAGCAGTGTAGCTAGGTTGGCTTAATGACAGGGTGATAGGAGTACGTGAATTTGTAGTGCGTGTATGGGCTATTTTTCTTTTGTTCCCTGAATCTCCCAGAGTCCATTTTTTAAAATGCCATTTCTAACATCTTATTTCTTTGTTCCTTCTTTTCTGAATTTTGACTGCTCCAACTCCTGCTCCTACAGACAGGATGGAACTGGTTTTCCACCATGCTGCAGCCATCTCATTGTTAAAGTGACTCCATTTGAATAGTAGACTGGTTAGCTCACCGGAACTAGCCTCATCTTCTCTCATGTTTATTTCCTTTCTCTGACTCAGAAGAGTTGACATTAGGGATGTTAAAATGAGTTTAAATAACTGTGTAACAACTAAAATGTCAGTGGTTACACATTTACACATGAAGTGGCAGTCTGCTCCTGTCTGCCTCTTTGCGCTGCTGCTTCTGACACAGAGGCAGCAGCGCAGGGAGGCAGGCGGCTCCCTGGAGTTGGTGCATGTGAGGAGCTGGCAAAAGGCATCATTTAAAAGGTGAAGGTTAAATCCCAGTGAGGAAAATAGAAAGGAGCATAAACACTGTCAAACTAAGAGTAAAAATATAATAAAGAAAGCCAAAAAGGAGTTTGAAGAACAGCTAGCCAAAATTCAAAAAGTAATAGCAAAATGTTTAAGTACAACAGAGGCAGAAAACCTGCTTAACAACCAGGAGGCCACTGGATTATCAAGATGCTAACGGAGCACTCGAAGACAATAAGGTCATTGTGGTGAAACTAAATGATTTCTTTGCTTTGGTCTTCACTGCTGAGGATGTTAGGGAGATTCTCAAACCGGAGCCTTTTATGGAAGTATTATAAAAGCAGTTCTAAAACTACGGTTTATTTCTAAGGGCACAGCAGGGCTAAAGCTGAAATAAGCTACGAAATTTGAACTATGTCAATTGTGTAGCTTAAGTCGAAATAGCTTATTTCGGCTTTTAGCACTGTCTACAAAGCAGGAAGTCTAAGAGAGGGCACTCTTCCTTCAACTATCCTTAATCCTCACCTACAAAGCAGGAAGTCTAAGAGAGAGCACTCTTCCTTCAACTATCCTTAATCCTCATAAAATGTAACTCCTTGTAGTGTAGATGTGTACTATTTTATTGCAGAATAACATCAGTTATTCTGAAATAATACTGCTGTGTAGATGTGCCCTTGGGCTTTGTCTACACTGCAAGATTTTGTGGCAGAAAATATGCTAATGAGGGACTCATTAGCATGAGTCGGGATGTCATTAGCATATTTACTGCCGATTCTTTTTGCACAAGAGGTTTTTGCACACAAAGAAGCATGTAGCCGCTTCTGTTTTGTGCAAAAAAACCCTTTTGTGCAAGATCCTTATGCCTCTTGGACTTTGCACAAAAGGCATAAGGATCTTGTGCAAAAGGGGTTTTTTGGAATTTCGATAGATATTTGAATGTTGATGAGCTGTTAAATGTAAAGTGGAAATTCTTTTGCAAAATTTTCCATACAGCAGATAGTATATGAGATATTCATGCAGCATAGAAAATAGCTTCTCGTTTGAGTTGGAAAGAACAGATTTCCTGAAAGAGGAGCTTGTATATTGTGAAACCTTATTTATTTGTTTTGCAAAAGTTTTCATTATGAGCCTGAGCCTAAAAGGGGTTTGCATAGCAAATTCCTATTCTCAGTGGGCCAGAATCTCCATTGTGCTCAAGATTTTTGCATCATTCTGGTGGTACAGGGTACCGGTCTTGGTTGTGTTCTCCACCCTAGTGTAAGGAGATACTAGAGGAGGGAGCCTGGAAGTGAAAGAGAATTGATCCTAATGATTTTAATTGGCTTTCTTTTCCTGGGGCCTAATTATGTTTGCCTTTAAGACAATGCCAGCTTTTTTTTTTTTTTTAAATATTGGCTTAAATGAAAGCAGCATCAGTGTTTTGGAACACTTACAGAACTGGTTCTCCTGATTGCTTATTACAAAAGTTGGTGTCTTTAAGTAAAAGCTTTAGCACAGTGCCCCTTGTCTTATTTGATTATATTGTGAAGTAACCAAGCTAAATTTGTGACATCCAAGAAACATGGCATGATCTATGCAGAAAACTGAATTCACTACAGTGTCATGTGAAAGAGTATCTGTGCTGAGCTAGAGAAAGTTGTTATTAAAACACAACAAATATTTCCATAAAAATCAAATAAAAATAAAAAAATCTTGGTTCAGGAAACTTTTTGATGTAAATGCACCTTGTCTTGAAGTATAATCCAGTGTGAAAGCATCCTCAGAAGTACTGCTTTAAATGTAGCTGATTTTCTAAGAGGCTATGGATTATGTATATTAATTATCCAAGGCTAAGTTTGAGGCACTGGAATGTTTTATTTGTCTTTTTGTATTTGAAATGCTGTCCTGTTTTCAGTTCAGATTTTATAAGGGTATTTTTCGTTATGTTCCTTGTGAATGAATATATTTAAGTGAATTTTGCATATTTTTGAAATAATGTACTTTATTTATATTGTATTACATTTAATTTTTAAATGCTCTCCGTCAACATTGTGACAAATGTGTTTTATTTATATTACTTTAACATACACTAAAAGCACTGTAATATATTTAGTCACAGCAACAAAGTCTTAAGAACGTAAGTCTTTGTTGAGACATGAAGGGTGGCAGGTGCCTGGATGTTTTTGTTTTGTTTTTAAAGCAACCAAGTGTGCCAACTATTGAGTTGAGAATTAAGTGATATGCTATATACACTAAGCCACTTCAAATTAGGGAAAATCATAAGCTTATTGGAAATTTGTTCCATATAATATTGGATGTGACTTATAATAACGCCACCTTTCCTCTTCATAATACTATAATGATCTTATGAGGCCACTCTCTAGCTCAGTGCAGCAGATCTGGATTTCAAATTCCATGAAGCAATTATTTTAATTGCTTGTTTAATTCCATAATGTTTTCTTTAAAAATGCTTTTAAATCCTTATTTCACTTCTTGATTCCTCTACAAATGGCAGCAGTATTGGGAGGAAGTGCAATTACTATACATCCAACTACCATACCAGCTATCTTTTGCCTCATTCCCAAAGGCTGCTTTTATGGCATTTGCCCAAAGCTAGTTGGCCACCCATATTTTAGGCCCCACTACAGACTGGTGTAGAAGAACAAGAAAAATAAAGAATAATTGGGTAAATAAAGAATAACAAAGTACGTGGGCCAAAAGAACCGGCAAGCAATACTGCCCAATAAATTAAAAAGGAAGACCAGTTTTCTGAGTCAACTCTAACATTTAAGTGGCTACTTATCACTAGGATCGCTAAAAAATATTTGGAGGAGAAGGGAGAAGTCTGATCTTGTGCCAAATACAGAGCTAACATTAATTTATTTTGGACCCACTGACATTATTTCAAGGGAATAATGTTCATATACAGAAGATAACAAAAATATACCAAGTAGATGACAGTGTTATTTCTCAAACTGATTCTAAATTACAAAAATGTATGACATGTAGGTACGTCTACACTGCAACACTATGTCGAAATAGCTAGCGCAAGTCCAAAATCACTTGATGAGCTTTCGTGGGCCAGACCCACTTCCTCAGATCAAATAGTGGAAGAAAATAGTTACAACCATATATACCAAACGATACAATTAAAAAAAATGAACACATATGAAAAGGACAAATCACATTTCAGAACAGAAGGGAGATGCGGG